ACTCCTGCCGGGAAAGGCGGATGGCAAGACCAACATGGAGAAGGAGCACCCGCTCCAGTGGTCTGCCGGCCGGGTTACAGCCATGAGGCCTGACGTTGGCCCCGGCTCAGGACTGGGGCGAGGAAGATCGAGGGCTGGGGAGAGAGGCTGGTCGGCAGCGCTACGGCCGGGAGAAAGGAGTCTCCACCGTGCTACGAGCTGCTTTATGCGCCTGAGTCTTCTCCGCTAGGCAACCACTGTGGCTTTGTGTCACGCCTTTCTGACAAGATGGCTTCTCTTTCCAGGGAGGAACCGAACCGCAACAGCAGTTGTCCCTTCCTTGTGCTTAACCCTGGCTTCCACCACATCGAAGGCCACTTGATGAGGAGCGTGCCACATCACACGATCGTCAGGAACCCACGTGAAATAAAGCCCCTGACAACTACGGGGGTGCCGAGGAGGACATTCCACGCTTTTGACTTTTACCTAGAGTTCAACAGTGACTGAGACTTTACCTTGGCATGCATCCATGAAGACATACTAAAGAGAACCCCTCAAGTCAGAGGGTCTGAATACAATGAAATTAGAATTGTCTACCATCAGGAAGTGCTGGGTGCTAGGACTTAACTGCCCCCACGATAGAAATCAACACTTGCCTGCTTAAATTAACTGAGCAGGGCTTATCACCCGTCCTGGGCTCAACCTAGAGCAGTGGGTTCTACTAGACTCGGGGTCAGGAGAATGGGCCACAGTACACAATACAGCAATGCTCAGTTGCTAACAAGAACCAAGGGAAGGAAGACAGTACCTCTACAGACTCAATTCATGCCAAGGAGAGAGTGTTCATTTCTGTCAGTTCTGCCCCCAATTCTCTAACTTTATGACATTATTTTAAGAGTAAGAAAAGTATTGAGACAGAAAATTCAAAAAATAAGGGGGGAAACTGTATGCATCTCTCTTTAGTGGGAGAAGTAAAAAAATAAAATAAAATAACTTCTGAATTGACTCTAGACAGTGTTAGAATCAAGAGTTGACGAGTTACTTCCTAATCCAGTTATTTCAGTAAAGTGCAGCAGAGCAGTGGAGATGAAGAATTCTGCCCAAACCTATGAACAGCAGCATTGGCTTTACCCTAAATTAGGAACAAAATATATCTTGGCTTCCTCAGGTAATGCCTCTTTTTTGCAGAAGTGTTCGGTGTGGCATCTGGTCCTACCCTGATACAGTAATTTACACATGCCGTTTTTTGGCCAGTAGATAGAGAACAAACCCACAGGTCTGGAAGCCGAGCCTTTTCAAGGAGGCACAGGAAGAAACCGTCCAGTGTCAGTATGCAGTGTGTACACAGGCAGACACAAAACCAGAGGTCAGAGCTCATCCAAGTGGACTCGCTTAGTTTAAGCAAAGGCTGTGTAGGGCTGCTAGAGTGATGTAAACACCGAGGTTCTCACTGCAGCCCGAAGGAGATCATGGCACAGTCCCTTTGCAGGAGTCCGAAGTACCACTGAGTTAGCTGGAAACCACAAATCCCAAACACTAATCATATTCCCTTTTTTTGTTGTTTTGTTTTGTTTTTTTTGGTGGAGGCCTAGTCTAGTAGAATCGAAAAGCGATTACCCTCTCAGCTAATCAAGTATTAAAGCTCCTAAAAATATCACATTTTATTACTACATACATGAAAATGGCTGGAACACAAGTACCCTGAAAAGGCAGTGGGGCGAAGGGGGATGATGAGACTTTACGTGGTTTTCATATAAAGAGGCTTTCAACTTTGGGGAAAATCAGCCCTGGAAAGAACACGACTCGATTCCAGTTGACTGCTTTTAAAGTACTCTGTGGCCTTCCTGCAGCGGTACAACTGGGCTCTATTTTGGGAACTGGCTTCTCTACTGCAGGATTAGATGCCAACATTTTACCAGGGTTGGACTGTCTCACACATGAGCTTCTGGCACTGTTAGGAGGGATTTCCTCAAGTGATACACCAGGGAATGGGCCTTTCACGTGAAAAGAGTTTCCCTGGAGTCAGCCGCCGGCTCTCGGAGATTAATTGGCTGCTTTCTCATGTGTTTTATGTGTGAGATATTTAACGGGGGATGAGAACGGGAACAGGAGGGAAAGCAGGTATTAGCTTGGTTCTGAAGGAGGTGGTAAGCCACAGATCTGCTTTTGTTTCGACAGTTCCTGAGCAGTGGAACAATTACCTAACAGTGTACCGAGTCATTTGTTTGGGTTGAAAACAGTAAGGGCGTTCATGTGCTCGAAGGCGTTTCTGGGCTGGAAAACAGCAATTTTGAACTCTCACGACAGACCCAATTCCTAAGCTGGCTCCACTCTGTCCTATCAGATTTTGGTGGTGGTGGTGGTGGACTGCTGTGTCGACTGGCAGGCAGCACCGACCAGGCCGTCAGGGACACAGAAAAGGAGGGAAAACAAGCAGCTGGGATGCTGTTCCGCTTCTGGGTAGCCGAAGGACCCAGCACATCTACGATTTGGTTTTTTTCTCTCCTCTTTTGAAAATAAGCAGAAAATGATGTGGGTAGAAAGGTCTCCTTTGGAGTACCCAGGGAATGCCAGGATTTAGCAAGGACCTCTAAATGGGCACCCGTGAAAACAAAGGCCTTTAGAACAGGGGTCCAGAATCTCTCCCTCTCAGCAGGTC